TGTCTGTCTGTCTGTCTGTCTGTCTGTCTGTCTGTCTGTCTGTCTGTCTGTCTGTCTGTCTGCCTGTCTGCCTGCCTGTCTGTCTGTCTGTCCCCTTTGCCTGCACTAAATGGCCGTCGTTGTGTTAATGTTCTTCTGTTTTCTCAAATTCGGCTCATAAAGAAATTATTTATACTAGAATTATTTAGAAAACCACTTGTCGCACACAGGTAGGTGAGTACTATTCACATTCTCATTACTCTATTGCTATTTTTGTCACACGGCAGCACATCGCTACATAATTATCTTCCTTTCTGTGGGTCTTGGTCGTTGGAGGGTGTCATAGGACCAGGTAGGTCCCGTGTCGTTTTCCCCCCTACAATTTTTCCACCCTATTTCACATTTTCTCTGGACGAAATAGCTGTCGTTGTGTCCATGTGGATGTGGATTGTACGGTACACTCGTTGGCATAATCCAGTTTGCTGAAAGCTAATTCCGCCCTACTTTCCTTTTCTATTTTAGTAGAGGTTTTACGGCGCTCGCAACTACATAAGGTCATATGAGCGCCACGTTTTATGAAATAGTTCATACTCCGGCCCAGCACACTGTTAACGCAAGGTTCAAGAAGGCTTTTCTGAGTAGTGAATTGAGTAGAAGTTTCACCACTGTTTAGACATAACTATTCCTATGTTCACAACATGGCTGGGAACAGCAAGAACAACAGACACCATCGCTGCAACGCAAGACATAGTGAAATGGATGTCCATGATCGCCCACACCAGTGGGCAAGGCACTGGGTAATGATGAATATTCCTATGTTCATGTAGATCTAAGTCGGTATTTATAATGTTCTACTCTAACTGCACAGACTTCGGAGTAGAGAAAAGTGGAGTGAGAAGAGAAGTCTTTGTCAGTTCACGCCGTGGTTGTGTCCAGCTCCCCCTCATCAATAATGTACTTCATGAACGGTCGCAGAACCCAATAGGTGCGTCCGAGTATTAGGATAATGGCATACACACACATACACACACACACACACACACACACACACACACACACACA